CAAGGTTCTGATAAGTTTTCAAAATCAAGAGAGGTCTGCATACAGTAGATTGGGAGAAACTGTCCTCATTGGTAAAATGGTCGAAAATGAGGGGGATTTAAAGTGATTTGCCAAAGTAGAAAATATGTGTCATGGGAAAAATATTTTTCATATAATGAGTGGTTCAGATCTGGAATGTACTACATTTAATTATGGTGGAGAGAGGTTCATTTGATGTTTTCAAGAGGATATTCAATGATTGTTCGAATAAATATGAACAGTAAGGGTACAGGAAATAGGAAAATGGCACTAAGTTACAATGCTCATTGGGAGAGCTGGTGCAGACATGATGAGTCAACTGGTTTTCTTCTGGACCATAATAATTCTGAGATTTAACTACCAGGCCCTCTGAGTCCTGGGTAACAAGGTTAGTTAATTTTTACTTGCATCAGGTGTTTGGACCTTTAAAATTCGGACAGAAAGAGAAAACAGAAGGTACTCAAATTAGCATGACGTAACCAGTGGTGTCTGAAAAAGATCTGTGTTGGGGCCTCAGTTATTCACATTATTTATTAGTACTGGCATAGGAAGTCTTTATTGTAGACAGTGAAGATGTTAACATAAAATTACAAAGGGATAGTGATAGATTAGATGAGTGGACAAAACTGTGGCAGATGAAGTCAGAGTCACAGAGCATGGAACAGATGTTTTGGTCCAACTAGTCCATGCACAATCATATTCTCAAACTAAATCAGTCCCACCCGACTGTGTTTGGCCCATATCCCTCCAAACCTTTCCTATTCATGGTACTTATCCAAGTGTCTTTCAAAATGTTGTAACTGCACCTGCATCCACCACTTCCTTTGGTAGTTCATTCCACACACTAACCACTGTGTAAAAAAAGTTGCCCCTCATGTCCTTTTTAAAATCTTCCTCCTCTCACCTTAAAAACATACCCCCTAGTTTTGTGCTTCCCCTACCTTAGGGAAAAGACCTTTGCTATTCGCCTTACGTATGCCCCTCACAATTTTATAAACCTCTACAAAGGTCACCACTCAACCTCCTATGCTCCAATGAAAATGTCCCAGCCTATCGAGCCTATATTTATAACTCAAACTCTCCATTCCCGGCAACATCCTGGCAAATCTTTTCTGAACTGTCTCCAGTTTAATAATATCCTTCCTATAACAGAGTGAAAGAGCTGCATATAGTACTGATGAAGAGGCCTCACCAAAGTCCTGTACAATCTCAATATGACATCCCAACTCCTGTACTCAAAGGTCTGAGCAATGAAGGCAAGTGTGCTAAATGATGCCTTAACCACCCTGTCTACCTGTGATGCAAATTTCAAAGAATTATGTACCTGAACTCTAGGTGTCTCTGTTCTACAACACTACTCAGGTCCCTACCATTAATAGTATAATCCTGCCCTTATTTGTTTTACCAAATGCAATATCTTGCATTTATTCGTATTAAACTCCATTTGCCACTCCTCAGACCCTTGACCCAATTGATCAAGATCTCTTTGTAATGTTAGATAACTTTCTTCACTGTCCACTACACCGCCAATTTTGGTGTCATCTGCAAACTTGCTAACCACGTCTCCTATATTCTCATCCAAAGCATTCATATAAAAGACAATCAGAAGTGGACCCAGTACAGATCCCTGGGGAATACCACTTCAATGAAAGCAAGTGAGAGATTGCATTTTGGACTGCAAAAGGTTAGATCAGGGTACTCGCTTTAAAAGGTATCAAGTTAAATACAGTGGATGCCCAAAGGGTATGCGCGCATGGGAGGGGGTGATCAAATGCATATGTCTTTAAAACGTCACAAACTGGTGCAGAAAATAATCAATCAAGTTATTGGAATGCAGGCCTACATAACTAGAGTAAAGTAGTACAGAGATGCCTACAATCATGCAGAAGTTATGCTGCAGCTATACAAAACCTTGATTAAACCCACTTGGAGTGCTGTGAGCAGATCTGAGCACGACACTTTCGGAAGGATATATTGGCCTTACTAGGAGTACAACATAGGTTTACAAGAATGATAGTTGGACTTCAGGGTTTATGAGGAAATATTACACTGTTTTAAGATTAATGGGTGATCTGATTGAAGTCTTCAAGATATTAACAGGAAAAGACAACATGGAAAAACAAACTATTTCTAATTAATAACCTATTAGACTGGTTGGGGATTCTAGACCTAGAATGTATAGTCTGAGAATTAGGGCCAGACCATTCAGGAGAGATGTTAGGAAGCACTTCCACATACTAAGGGTGGTAGATGTTTGAAATTCTCTTCCACAGATACCAATGGATGCTGGAATCACCTGTTAAATTTAAATCTGAGATAGTACTTTTTTTGTTAAGCAAAGGTATTAAGGGATATGGGCCAAAGGCAGGTATACGGAGTTAGGCCACAGATCAATCAGAATCTCATTGAATAATGGAATAGGAACAAGGGGCTGAATGGCCCAACCCTGTTCCTATGACATAGGCACATAATGCAAACAACTCTATAATATGGGTAGGGAATGTTTTATGTAGTTTTAAATTTATAGCATCCCTCTTTCTGCCAACAGTTGGATGGATGGTTATAATTCCTCTCAATATTTCTGTTCAGTGAGAGAAAGTACAGGGTGTTGACAAGTTAATATTCAATCCATCAAGCATATGGATATGGCATTGATGCTTCTGATGGCAATGTGCCAGGGCTGGCAGTCTTGCCTCACAAAAATCAAAATACTCTAGAATTGTCAGTTTGAGGTTGGTCTGTTCTGAAAAACAGAACTTAGTCAAGGTCAGTATAAAATACGTAGTCACTTAAAGCTCCAACGCATTCAGAGTCATTTAGATCCAGAGTCATACAGCATGGAAACAGACCCTTCAGTCCAACTCGTCCATGCTAACCAGATATCCCAAATTAATCTAGACCCATTTGCCAGCATTTGGCCCATATCCCTCTAAACCCTTCCTATTCATATACCCATCCAGACGCCTTTTAAATGTTGTCATTGTACCAGCCTCCACCGCTTCCTCTGGTAGCTCATTCCACACACACCACCCTCTGTGCGAAAAAAGTAGCCCCTCAGGTCCCTTTTGAACTAACTCCTCTCACCTTAAAAATATGCCCCCTAGTTTTGAAATCTCCCCACCCTAGGGGAAAGACACCTGCCATTCACCTTATTTATATCCCTCATGATTTTATAAACTTCTGTAAGGTCACCCCTCAACTTCCTAAGCTCCAGTGAAAGAATGTCCCAGCCTATCCAGCCTCTCCCTACAACTCAAACCTTCCATTCCCGACAACATCCTGGTAAATCTTTTCTGACCCCTCTCCAGTTTAATAATATCCTTCCTAATAACAAGGAGACCAGAACTGCACACAGTGCTCCAGAAGAGGCCTCACCAACGTCCTGTACAACCTCAACATAACGCCCCTCAGCTAAATCATTATTGTGAGTAGCCAGAGTCCAAACACAGATCCCTGTGGGACCCCATTGGTTACTGTTTTCCACTTGGAAAATTACCCAGTTATTTCTCTCCGTTTCCTCTTTTCCAGCCAGTTATGTACTCATATCCATACACTGCCCCCAATCCCCATTGGCTTTAAAATCCCACATAACAGCTTGGTGTGTAAAATTATGGAAAATCTTCTTAAAGTCTAAACAAACCACAGCTTCTGCCCCACCGTCCCCAACCCCCCAACAAATACAGATTAACCACCGATTCTCCTTCCCATCCCTGGGAGCATCCTGGTGAATCCTGCCTTACACCTTATGGAACGCCTTCCCAATCTTTTCCCAAGAGATCCAAGAGATCCACCAGCTCCTCCATCAGGAGTCCTGACTGAAAGGATAGGAACTTGGGGAATCTCACCATCACCTGCACCAGATGCTCTGCAAAGGCAGGAGGGAACGTCGTGGGAAGTGCATGCAGGGACCCCAGGACAAGGGTAGGCGGAGGGATGGGGTTAACAGCACGAGGCGAAGGGATCTTTAGTGGCTGAGAGGGGATCTGCAGAGATCTGGCTGAGGAGATCAGTGACGGCACAGAGTGTTTCACTGGGAAATAAAAAGGGTTTGTGTCAAAATGGGCGCAGAGGCCAGCAACCTCATCCTGAGCTGCCTAGAGGTCAAAAGCAAAGTTCTACAGCATCCGGGCCATGACAAACAAAGCAGACGACAGGCTGGGATCTGGGGATCCTGTAGATCCCACAGAGCACTCGGCTATCTCCAGAACCAGGCTAGCCTCTGAGAAAGAGACAACAAGGTGTACATAATGGTTGGAGTGTTATTTATTCATATTACATACAGAAGAAGTTGTAAATTTAATGGTTGGAGTACGTAGGATGTCACATTGTCACAGATGTTCTTGCTACTACCTACTTTTGTGCAATGTGTAAAAACATACACAAGATAAAATAGATTTAAGTAATTGTCCAACATCTCCAGCACAGCTGGAGACTTGAAGGAAAAATGTCCAATTTTCAAATACATGCCAGTGGCGTGGGAGGAGATAGAAGTTTTACTGCAATTCCAAAGTCATCATTTTCCAACTTCAGAACACAGTTGAACCAGATTTGTTATTAATGTCATCTGATATTCAACCTTTCATGAATTTAACCTACAAATATATATGGGGTCACCATCTGTTGCTGTACAGCACACAAAACCGCCAGTCTAATAAATATGTTAACCACTTGCACTTGTGTATAAAAACCAAAAAAACTGCGGATGCCGTAAATCAGGAACAAAAACAGAAGTTACTGGAAAAGCTCAACAGGTCTGGCAGCATCTTTGAAGAAAAAAAAAGTCAGAGTTAACGTTTCGGGTCTGGTGACCCTTTCTCAGAATTGAGGAAGGGGGTCACCTGACCCAAAACGTTAACTGTATCTTTTCTTCACGGATGCTGCCAGACCTGCTGAGCTTTCCCAGTAACTTCTGTTTTTGTTGCACTTGTGTATATTCAGCAATCATTTAAAAAAATGCATAAAAATGCATAAATTAGGAATACCTTTGCAGTTCTTCTCCTAATCTCTCAGAACCATCTTCTGGAAGCACTTTGTACAAATCACTTTCTTCTAATCTCCTTTTGTATCCAATGCGAAACAGTGGGTTTAACCAACTACAAATTGAAAAATATAAAGATAACTGAACTTGCAATACAATTTAAACACATCTACTTCACACACTAACGCAATAATGTGAAAATAACTTAAACAAACGAAAGATGAATAATTCACTGAATCAAACTAATTTTCTTGGATAGTTCTTCAACACTTCTCATGACAGCTAAAGTTCTTCCTAGTGTGTGAATTATTTTTGAAGTGCAAGCATTATATAAGCAAATACTAAGTGGAATTTGTGCATCATATGATTCCATGAGTAGCAAGTAAGTAATCAATTATTCTCTCTTACTAGTTATGGCTGAGAGATAAAGAACAAAGAACAAAGAAAATTACAGCACAGGAACAGGCCCTTTGGCCCTCCAAGTCTGCACCGACACGCTGCCCATCAAACTAAAACACCCTACCCTTCCGGGGACTGTATCTCTCTATTCACAACCTACTCATGTATTTGTCAAGACATCCTTTAAAATGTCACTATCGTATCTGCCTCTACTACCTCCCCCAGCAGCGAGTTCCAGGCACCCACCACCCTCTGTGTAAAAAACTTGCCTCGTACATCACCTTTAAACCTTGCCCCTTAAAACTATGCCCCCTAGAAACTGATTCTTCCACCCTGGGAAAAATCTCCTGACTATTCACTCTGTCCATGCCCTTCATAATCTTGTAGACCTCTATCAGGTCGCCCCTCAACATCCGTCATTCCAGTGAGAACAACCCAAGTTTCTCCATCCTCTCCTCATAGATAATGCCCTCCATACCAGGCAACGTCCTGGTAAATCTTTTCTGTACCCTCTCCAAAGTCACCACATCCTTCTGGTAGTGTGGTGACCAGAACTGAACACAATATTCCAAATGTGGCCAAACTAAGGTTCTATAAAGCTGTGATATTACCTGCCAATTTTTAAACTCAATGCTCCAGCCAATGAAGGCAAGCATGCCATATGCCTTTATGACTAACTTCTCCACCTGCGTTGCCACTTTCAGTGACCTGTGTACATGTACACCCAGATCCCTCTGCCTATCAGTACTCTTTAGGGTTCTACCATTCACTGTATATTTTCCATCTGGATTAGACCTTCCAAAATGCATTACCTCACATTTTTCCGGATTAAACTCCACCTGCCATCTCTCTGCCCAAGTCACCAACCGATCTATATCCTGCTGTATCCTCCGATGGTCCTCATCGCTATCCGCAATTCCACAAACCTTTGTGTCAACTGCAAAATTACTAATGAAACCAATTACATTTTCCTCCAAATCATTTATATATAGTACAAATAGCAAAGGTCCCAACACTGATCCCTGAGGAACGCTACTAGTCATAGTCCTCCATTCAGAAATGCAGCCTTCCACTGCTACCCTCTGCCAGTTTTTTATCCATCTTGCTAGCTCACCTGTGACCCCATGCGACTTTACCTTCTGTTTGTGTGTGCCATGAGGGACCTTGTCAAAGGCCTTACTGAAGTCCATGTAGACAAAATCCACTGCCCTACACGCATCGATCATCTTTGTCACTTCCTCAAATCTCAATCAAGTTAGTGAGACATGACCTCCCCTTCACAAAACCATGTTGCCTCTCGTTAATACACCCACTTGTTTCCAAGTGGAAGTAAATCCTGTCTCAAAGAATCCTCTCCAATAATTTCCCTACCACTGACTTAAGGCTCACCAGCCTGTAATATGCTGAATTATCATGGCATCCTTCTTAAAGGAACAACATTGGCTATTCTCCAATCCTCTGGGACCTCCCCTATAGCCAGTGGGAATACAAAGATTTCTCTCAAGGCCCCAGCAATTTCCTCCCTTGCCTCTCTCAGTATTCTGGGGTATATCCCATCAGGCCTGGTGACTTGTCTACATTAATGTTTTTCAAGACCCCCAATACCACCTCCCTTTTTGATCTCAACATGACCCAAACTATCTACACACCCTTCCCCAGACGCCTCATCCACCAAGTCCTTTTCTACGGTGAATACTGACGCAAAGTACTCATTTAATACCTCGCCCATTTCCTCTGGCTCCACACATTAATTCCTTTCCCTGTCCTTGAGTGGGCCAACCTTCTCCCTGGCTACTTTCTTGCTCTTTATATATGTGTAAAAAGCCTTGGGATTTTCCTTAATCCTGGTGGCCAATGACTTTTCATGACCCCTTTTAGCCCTCCGGACTCCTTGCTTAAGTTTCTTTCGACTTTCCTTGTATTCCACCCTTCATGTGTTACCAGCCTCCTAGCCTTGACAAATGCTTCCTTTTTTCTTTTTGACTAGGCTCACAATATCTCTCGTTATCCAAGGTTCCTTAAACTTGCCATACTTATCCTTCATCCTTACAAAAATGTGCTGGTCCTGAGTTCCTCCCAATTTACACTTAAAAGCCTCACACATACCAAATATTGATTTCCCCTCAAACATCTGCCTCCAATCTACACTCTTCAGTTCCTGCCCAATATTGTTGTAATTAGCCTTTCCCCAGTTTAGCACCTTCAACCATAAAGGTTGGCTAAAACACTGGGAAAGCTCCCTACCACGTTAGATGAACACAAAAAAAGCTCAGGGCATCATTCAAACAGGCAGCTGGTTTGAAATCTCAGAATTCAATACCTGTGATGAGACACGTCAAAAATCAGTACTAGAGAGTGTGAATCTTCCAAGTATTTGGATCAAAGCTTGACACTTGAACAGTTGCAATGTTGCCATTCAGCCAGGCAGAGAATTTTTTCAATATAAATTGAATTTCCATATTTGTAAAGGATCCTGATTGGGACTATGTTAGAACGTCTTCCAATTTTGGTTTCACATGCTACAGTTAGGAGATCTGGAAAATACCACTCAAATGAAGAGATAGCACAATGTGGAGCTGGAGGAACACAGCAGGCCAGGCAGCATCAGAGGAGTAGGAAAGTTGATGTTTCACATCGGGACCCTTCTTCAGAAACCACTCAAATGAACAGTAGTTTAAAAACCTTCATTAGGTTAAGGTGAGAAGAGTTGGATTAACATTGGAAAAACACAGATTTGAGGGTTGCTTTGAAATATTTTAGTTTGAAGGAGCAAGACTACATCTGTCTGCACACAGCATCTGCATTAAGAGTGTAATAATGTCTCTGAGCAGATTGATTAAAAAAAATCTAAGAAGCCTCAAGTTTGGCCCTTCTCAATAGTTAACCAAGTAAAGAAAAAAATCAGGCTGCTTCCAGGAAAGCTCCTGTGGTACAACGATAGCTTTCCTGTCTCTGAACCGGAGGCCCAATTTCATATCCCACCTGCTCCAGAGATGTTTAATAACAAATCTGAACAAGTTTAATCAAAAATATCAAAAAATACTCTTGACAGTTAAATCCTTCAGGAGGGAAATTAGTTCAAGTGGTAGGGCACTGCTTTGCATGCGAGAGATAGACAGGATCAATGACCACATTCTGATCTAACACAAACCCAATTAAAAGCACTCTTGTGCGCAATGGTAGTGCATCTTTGAATCGGTTGATGAAAAAAAAATTGATCTCCTCTCTCTCTTCCCATCTTCCAGTATTTTATTATTGCTGCACAGCCCTTAGCGGGTAGTGCTTGTTAATTTTTGACTTTGTCAAATGGGCGATTTGATGATGATTTAACTTCTCTGCCTCTGAGCCATAAGGTCTGGGTTCAAGTCTCACTACTCCCAGACATGTCACAACATGTCTGATAACAGGTTGATTTTAATAAAAAAGGTGGCTTCAACTAGGATCTTGTGGCACAGTGACACTGTCCATATCTTCGGGTTAGAAGGGCTGGATTCAAATCCCACCTGCTCCAGAAGTTTGTCAAAACACATTTGGCTAAAAACAATGAGCTGACTCTGCGGCTAGCAGGGTGGTGCAACGAGTGTATGTTAGGTCCATAATCCAGAGGTTGATGGATCAAAACTATCCTGTTATTCTCATTCACATTGGGAAGTATATCATAATAAATGATGGTTTAAGTCAACATAAAAACATCCCCCTGTGGTGCCGTGGTATTGTCCCTACCTCTGGATTAGCAGGCTGGGGTTCAAGTCCCACCTGCTCCAAAGGCATGTCATAACACGTCTGAACAAATCAATTAAAACTGTTAAGAGCCACTTTCTCAGACTGCCCTAGTAGGCAGTATTTGTTAATTTATGAATTGGCTGTTTTGATGGTAGGTTTTTCAAAATAAACAGCTAGGTTCTGCTTCCTCGTTTCCTCCTCTTTTTAATTTCTTTTACTCTTATACTGTTCCTGGTGGGCAGTATCTGTTGCTGTTAATTAGGTAGTGAGTTTCTTGAGAACAAAAAAAACCTGGTTTCTCCACACTGGCTATGAAAGTGAAATGGCAGCTTCTAAATGCTGAACTGCAACATCTTAAATCAAAAAAAGTCTTAGTTAACAAATTGAACCATTTTAGTTTCATTTATAATTAGTAAAAAGAAAACAACCAGGTTTGTTCTTCCCCTCCCTTCACCTCCCATACCTTTTCCGATTGTGTTTTCACTCTGAAACTGGAGGGTACACCTGTTTTGGTTAATTTGGTATTTGAGCTCTTTAGAACGACCCTGATGGGCAACGTTTGTTAATTGGGTGGTTTCGTGATTATGGTGGGAGTAGGTCTATTTTAACAATAGATGCTGAGTTCTCAGGGCCATGTAGTGTAACAGTTCTCACTTCACACTTGAACGGTAGCCAGTTCAGAAGTAGACAGAATTATCAGTAAAGCTCAGGAGGATGTATTCTTTGTAGTATGTAGTCTTTGTAGTCTTATGTAGCCCTATGTAGTCTTTGCAATTTGATGACTGGGTTTATTTACATAAAGAAAAAGAACTGGATTCTTAATCCGGGTGTCCTCGGAAAAGGGAGCATGCAATGTTCACCAGTAGTTTTGCAGCTTTTCAAGATAGGTAGGCACTGTGCAGGTTGGGATGCAACATTTTCCCTCCCATGATATTTTGATTTAGTCAGCTCCCTTGATTTCCCTTTGGTTTTTGGTTACTGTTACGGTGCTCC